GTGAAAGCAAGAGAAGAAGAAACCCTAATAAACTGGACAGCGCCCTCTGTTGGACAAACTGATCATTTGTAGAAAAAGGAGCCATTGGGACAAACGCTGCTCCAGGATTTAAGATGAATTAACCATTCGCTCTTTAAGAAGTTGTTGTAAGAAGTGGTGTTCAGTCTGGGAGGGGCTTTTCCTGGGGGTCTCACCTGCCCATTATTTATTTTTTTATTTTTAATGGATACCTGTCCATTATCCTGCACCTCGATATGGACCGAATCGAGGATTTTTGCTCTTTTCCGAGGATTTTTTTCCACTGACTTTCGTCTCTTGCTTCCTCTTCACTCTCACTGTCATTTCTATTGCAAAACGACTCGTGAGCTTTTCCCACTTCGGGGGCCTGTTTTTTAAGCGGGTCGAGGGGAGAGGCGGGTTCATAATCTGCATTTTGGACCGTGGAGGGGAACGAGATCGGCTGATTCTGTGACTTCATCTTAAACCGATAATACGGAGGCTTAAAACATAGCTCCAGCTCCTCCTAAAAACTCTGGAGCCCAGAGCAGGAGTGACTAATTCAAATGGGCAAAAACTGAAAACCTCTCTGCATTAGCTTCCTCATGAAGGTTGGGGTGAGCAGAGGCCCTTCTTCCACCAGTATATCAGATTATTATTATTACTGCATTAGTGTGTTCGGACAGTTTCACTTAAGCGATCGAAACAGCCACCAGCAGGCTGTCTAAGTAAATAAATGCGTAAATAATCATTTTGCTGGGTCAATATCAGGCAGTTTGTGGGAGAACATGTTGTTTTTCTGTAAATCTGAGCGATTCGGTTGGCAGAAAGCACGCAGACAGACAAATGCTGACATTAACTGGCTTTTTTTTTTATGTATAAAAAGTAGAGTTAGTGTCAAAATAAAGAGCAATTCTTAATATTTTGGCCATATTCGGTATAAAAGTCTAAATATAATACACGTTTTATGGAGCACCCAATGTAAATAGTGTGGAAATCTCCTGACGGTGGAACTGAAATGTTTTGACTTTAATCACATCTGGATCGCTCTCTTTACAGTTTCAGACTGAGGAACAGAGAGGGGGGGGCACAGAATACTTACCAATAGCCATGAAAATCTCATTCACGTTCATAGAGGTCTTTGCTGACGTTTCCATGAAGAGCAAGCTGTTGTCGTCTGCGTATGACTGGGCATCCTGAGAGTTAGACAACAACCCATTAGTTCACTCTACACCAGTGCTTCTCAATTATTTTCTGTTACGCCCCTCCCTAGCAAGAAAAAAAAATCCCCACCGTGACTATCAATCTCTGCATAACATTTTATCCTTATTAACATTAAAGAAAAGAAAAAAAGAAAGAAAGACAGATGGTCAAAACTTACAACTTTATTAAATCGTGTTTTAAGTCTGCAACAGAAAAGATTTTAAGTGCATCAATGCCTGAAATTAAAAATAAATAAATCCTTGTTTAAACTGTAAACGTGTTTGACCAACTAATTGCACCGTTGCTAAATTAAATCAAAATCAATGAATAATATTTAATAATTATAATAACTAATAAACTACTAAAACAACAAAAATAATAACTAATTTATATTCAGTTAAGCAACAGTAACTCAGGAGCACAATATATAAAACACTTAGCTTTCGGTTGACTTTCTTTTGTCTCGTTATCTTTGTCTCTCTCCATTTTTCTTTTCATCTCCGTTAAAAACTTTTTCATGCTGGGGTTGTTATGTTGAATAACGGCGGCTACAGACAGAACGGTCGGAGCTAACCGAGGCTAACTTGTTGTCTTTAAGTCGTAAAATGTTGCACTGAAGTAACGATGAGAGCGCCACTGCCCCCTACTGGAGTGGATGCGCTATTACACCTTATACTAGTACGGCCAAAAAAAAAAAAAAGGCTGTTCCCCAGGGTCACACACGCCCCCCCAGGTATTGCCCCACTATTTGATAAGCACTGCTCTACACTAAACAACAACCCCCCCCTCCCCCGCGCCATAAAAAAGAAAAAAACAAAAACAGCCTGTCTATGGTCGTTTTTTTCAGAGGTAAACAGACAGACCTGGAAGTCCAGAGCTCTCTTGTTTGCGAGGTCGGCCTTGTTCCCCGCCAGCGCTATTACGATGTTTGGGCTGGCCTGTCTCTGAAGCTCTTTAACCCAGTTCTTCGCCCGGACAAATGACTCCTGGCAAAAGAGAGCAGAGCGGGGGGGGGGGAGAG